ATGAAGTGAGAGTGTATGTGAGTAAGTGTCTGCCTTTGTGATTGACTGGAGGTATGTTCTTGACATACTGCCTCCATACATGACTAGCTCTTTGCCCTTGAAAATATAATCGATGTTCAAAGAATGTATGGAGTGACCTGGCTGAACTGGCTTAATCTTTATTGTAAGTAGTTGGATCAGAATCCAAGATTTGCCATCAAGGGTCATTAACCAAGCTGATGGAGACTGATATAAGCATTTTTGTTGACATCCTTTTGTCTTAGAAAATCTAGGTTTTAATAAGTCATATCGGTTTCTTTGAGTAAATGGTGAAATACGATAAATAATGTTAAAAGAAAACAGGTGTATACGCTGGCATATATTGGACGAAAGGGCAGGTGAGACTCTGTGGCAATCTTATCTTATCTATCTTATCTATTCTGAAGTACCTAAACAGCAGGTATCAGAAAGGAGAGATACAGCATGGAGACTGAGAGAAGGCTTAGTTGTGACAACAGCAGATAAGCAAGGTGGCAGGAAGGTGCAGAAAACCAGTGGATGATGGAAAAATAAGATGTAGATTAATGTGTGTGTGTGTGTGTGTGTGTGTGTGTGTGTGTGTGTGTGTGTGTGTGTGTGTGTGTGTGTGTGTGTGTTTGACTATGCAGAGCATGTCAGGAGCTTTTTGGACTCTGGGGCTGTGATTCACCATAAATTGAGAAAATATCACAGTCGGAAATGGTCTAATTAAACCTGCTGGGGAGATTACTGTATGTGAAATGGAAAGTCTAAAATCTACCTAAATTGCCTGAACGTTTATAATCAGAAAAGCTAGGAATTTAGACTGTTTAATGAAATACAGTATGATATGGTGATCTTTTGAAATTCAGATAGTAAAATTTAAGCCGCAGCTGAGATTGATGTAGATGCACGGATATCGGATATTGAATAAAAGGGGACATTTCAACTGATGATAGTGCAGTAAAATGATTTAAAGTATCACTCATGTCTTGGGAGCTGCGCACTAACAAGATCATAAATTTTACTGCATTTATTTTAAAATTTATACATAGAGTTATGGATATATTTCCACTGAGGCTATTGGAGCGGTGGGCCAGAATACTTATTGCTTTGAGATCTACTTCTTCTAAGCTTTAGTGATTTCAGCTCTGTCATTTGAGTCCAGAGGTGTTCATAGTGTAGGGGAGAGAAGTGGATCTTGATTAATGTTTAAAACTTGACAGCATAAAGAAAAAAACTTTGTTTTTGTGGCAAGCTATCAAGAAGTAGAAATACAAAATGTTGCTAAAGACATAACATTTCTGGCTAGTTTGGAAAAATGCAGCCCAAACAATTGAACAAATTTGTGACATACTTTCCTGTTGAAAACAAAGGTTTGAATCATGACTACAGCAGGGTATTATTTTAGAGGACCTGGGCTTTAGTAATAGCTTAAACTGATATAGGAAGAAGTTGGCTTTCTCAAAACATGAGTGTATTCAAAATGTTATGGCATTATGAGGAACATTAATAAATATCCAACACTCTTGCTAACTTTCATGTTTTGTGACCCAATGACACCATATGAATTTTAAATTACTATTTCAGAGAAAAAAGGAAGACGTGCAATCGCTTTTCGTCCTATTTTAATGCTTATTCTTTTTATGTCTTCATTTTTTTTCCTACTAGCTTTTAGGTCATGTAACTGAATGCCACGATTATGTAAAATCATTACACACTGGACAGATGATGAAGACTTTTTAAAATCCAGCTGCATTGTATTTACTATTTTTATAAAGTTTTATGATGACAAGTATTACGATTTATTTTCATTATCTATTAAATGGAAAAAAAAGTTCAACCTTCAAAGTTACATTTATGCAATGATCATTTTTATCCTTTTTTCACACCTAAAAAACAAGAAAATCTATTAAAGGCAAGAAGTGTAGTACCCTGGTTATTAAATGTGCACACCCTTCAGCTAGTACTCTTCTGAACTAAATTTTGATTACATTTCAGCATTTAGTCCTCTGTCTTGAGGATACAGTGAACCATTTTGGCTTTACTGACTGTATCTTAGCAAACGCTTCCAAATCTATCAGTGTGAGGATCTATATCTCACAGTCATCTTTAATTGATTTCACAGATTTTGTGTCAGATGTAGTTCTAAATTCTGCCTTGTTCAGAGCAATCTTCTGAGGCCTCTCTTGGTTTAGCTATTCAGATTGGACTTAAATGCTAGTAGATCAAATCAACCATCATGTTAAAACTGCTAGAACACACTTGAAAGGTTATGGGTTAAAAAAACCCACTCAGACATGGAACTAGTCATAATTTTATTTAACTTGACAGAAGCACCAGTACCATGTAAAGAAAAACAATCCCAAATCATATTGTTGTCTCTACCTTTAATCACTTTGAGACACATTTGTCTTTTGGAATTATGGTCACAGTTTCCTGTTTTGTTCCATCTGTACAGCACCTTTTTTTATACATGAATTTTTCAACTATATTTCAACTATACTGACTCACAATTAGTGGGTAAGTTAATAATTTAACTGTTGTATGTATCCTTTTTAAATCACAATATCCTACATTTATTTGCCTATTTACATACAAGAAGTGGATACACACAAGCTCAAATGGCTTCAATTATTTTATCTGGTTCTACAACAACTTCCCTGGATTCAGAACTGTGGGAAAAGCAAGGAAGCTGAAAATACCAATAAGCAGTGGTGAAACTAATCATAACGTGGGAAAGTTAGGGATTCCATTAGAACAACAGCAAAACAATAAGCCACAATTGCCAGGATATCAAGAAAAACCCACAAATGTAAGATCAATTAACTAAAAGCAATGACAAAAAACATACAGACAATAAACATTCAGAACCAAGATATTTGGAATTTAAAAAATCTTGACTATCTATGACCACACTATCTATGACCACAACTGTAAATGCAACATTTAGATTGGAGTTAAAAAAGCTTATGATGTCAAGTAAGCAGCCACTGAAATCAAAATTGATCACTGGTTTTATGGGGATATATATGCTACACAGGCAAAGGGAAAGTCGTTCAAATTAAAAGGAATTACTTAGCAGCCTAAAAGCTGTGTATAAGATGTACCTGGACATTGCAACATGAAAATGTTCCAGAAGACAGGGACAGTCCACCAGTCATTGCCTGCTGCAGGGAAAAGTGAAGGTTCTGGTTGGTTGCCTCAGTCTCATTACATGAATATGATGTACTTTAGCCACTTTACGAAGATCTCAAATTTACTATTCATGTAATACAGCATGAGAATTTACAGGGACTGTAGGGTTTCTTGACAAGAGGAACGGCAGCAATAGCATGTGAGAAAATAAAACTCAAAACCACTGCATGACACAATTCACAATACATGTCAAGGCACTTTACAATTCAACCATATCATACAGTCAAATTGATTCAGATTTTTCTATCTTAGGAAAACCAGCTGATTGTATCGACTCATTGACTCGAAGGCAATCCATCACACCAAGCATGCTTGTAGCGACAGTGGAAAGGAAAAACTCCCTTTTAATAGGAATAAACCACCAGCAAAACCAGCTCTGCTGAAGGTTTCTTGGGGGTTCAAGGAGAAAGAAGCAGATATACAGATAGAAGCAGAGATACAAAAGGCAACTGTCAACCAGCTCCACAGGTTGCCCCATCCAGGAAACACACAGCCAGGCAGACAAGCATTGAGTAGCTCCCATGTCAGAGGATGAAGAGGGTACATCCAGTCAGTCACTGTCAGAGAAGCAAGAATACACTGAAAAACAGGACGATCTCCTACATCTATAAACAAAGGTTTATAGATGCACAGCTGATATTTCATTCCAGGATGGTGTCACAGCCAAACAGGAACAGACTAGATGAAGCTACTATGAGGAAAAGCAGAGGGAGCATAGCATTAGAGATTGAACTATCAAATCTTCACATTGGGAGAATAGAGATAGAATGAAACAGAATGATGAAAAGGAGTCCCTATGTCCTCCAGCAGTCTAAGTCTATAGCAGCATAACTACAGAGATTGCTCAGGATAACCTGATCAACTTTGACTACACTGCAAAAAATGGAAATCTGCATGAGTTATTTTTGCTTAAATTTAGTGAATTTTGTCTTGAATTGAGGAGATAAGTGAGACACCTTGCCAATGGAACAAGACAATTTCCATTTAAAATAAGAAAAAAACAATTGCTTTGTCTTATTTCAAGTGAATATTATCTAATTGTCTTATTTTAGGAGTAGAAATACTCATTCCATTGGCAAATCGTCTTATTTACCTACTAAAATCAAGGGTAAATGCACTTATTTTAAGAGATTTTGTACTTTTTTCTAGATGGTTTTTGCAGTGTATAAGCTTGATCAAAAAAGAAAGTTTTAAGCCTACCCTTAAAAGTAGACAGGGTGTGTTTCCACGGACTAAAACTGGTAGTTCGTTCCTGAGGAGAGGAGACTGATAATTAAAAGATTTGCCTCCCATTCTGCTTTTAGAAATTCATAGGAAAAAATAGTACTACATGCTGACCCACCTTGTGCCCCAGATTGAAGAATTTGATGATTTAAACATTAGATAAAGTTCATTTTGGTAGTTTATTCTGCCATTCTAATTTCATTCACAGTTAGTTCTCTCCAACTTATGTAGTTTCTTGCCATTGTTTGTCAGCGTACCTGTTTTGGGGTCTAGAATCTCATGCAATCAGGTTTTTTTTTTCTTTGCTCTCAGCAGTTTATTTTTTTTAATAGAAGCATAATACATGGTAAATGTCAAATGTTAGACACTCCCTCATGCTAATCAGAGAACCAGGGTTTTATTCATAACCTTAAGATCTTAAATGATTTACACTCATTTACTGAAGCGTGAAGTGTTTTCTGTAGGGTGTGTACACATTTTATACCCACTTTAGAATAGATGTTAGGGAGCCCCAGAGACAAAGTTACAGAGCAGAATAGGCTTTTTCAGTGAACTTATTTCTGTCTTTTTGTCTCTCTTAGGTTTTCTTTTGTGATTACTGGCAGGGAGAGAAAACTAACACTGACTCGGCCATTGGCTCTTCACTGTTTCTGGACAGAGTGAGGCTCCTTTAGCTTTTTCCCTGTCCATTGTGTTTGGAGGAAAAAAAAAAAAAAAGGAAAAATCAAGCTTGTCTGCATAAAGACCTATTCAGAATCACCTCTCTTGGCCAGCGGCAATAGAATCATCCAAGAAGTGCAGTATCCCTCGCTCCAAGCTATTCCTTTATCCTCAGCCCCTTCTTTTCAAAACGCTTTACACCTATACATCCCCCTCAGCCTCTTTCCACTTTCCAGTCTTTTCTCCTATTTGAAGTCCCACATGACAGCCCAGAAACATCCGTTACCCTCCCTGCTCTCCTCTCTCTCCAGCCCCTGCGGTGCTTGGCACCAGTGCCCATCACATAGACAGATGGAGCCAACCCTGACCCCTCTCCTCGCCCATGGGGAAGCCAAGAGATTCAACGCCTGACTTGATGAGAGGGGTGGGGGTTGGACTGAGTGTAAGACTTTGCGTGAAGAAAAGTAACAGGAAGAGCAGAAGGAGAGCATCATATTGTCACCACGGCAACACATCACACCAAATCCTGTGGACTCCCTGTTAGACATAGCCAAGGTTCTTAGATGAAATCACGCATAGCTGGAAAAAACGGATTGGAAAGGACCTGATGTTTTCCCCTCAACAACTTTTAACTTTTTGTGTTTAACTAAATAATCTTGCTTTAGTTTTTTCTCTATACAAGGTGTCATCAAAACACTTGATGAGTAGACTGAACATTAAACAATCTTGGATTAAAGTGAGCACTACATTTGGAAACTAATTAAAAAAAATGAGGGAAGAGGTAAGACAGTATGGTTTTACGAGTTCATATCACCTGAGGAAACAAGAAGAAAAAAATCTTATGGGCTTTCACACAACACTTGGAAATTAACTCCACAGCAGCATCTGTTTAATTTTCCTGATGTCTGATTTTTTTTTCTTGTTTCTTTTTCCATCAGTTTTGTTTTGCTGTTTTTCAACTTTCTCTGCTGATTATCGGGACCCTGATTACCATATAAAACCAGGCAACCAATTTTAAAAGAACTACGCATCACCAATAAAATGAGTCACTAATAGCCTGTGAAATGAATCCAGCTGGTCAACATAACAGAGGGGGGAATACGGGCATCCCAAAGCTTCCAGGTAATTGGAGTGCAGTATACAATGTTTTACTTTGAGGCACAGCTCCTCTGATGACCTTGCAGGCTGAAAACATTGAGCCAGCAGTTGCAGCAAAAAAGAATGGTGGTTCTCTGTGACCAGGGTTTATAGTTGCAGTGTCTTTCTGGACTTTTCATCTTCACTATGTAAATTTGTCTCACTATAATGTCTAGCTTATTTTCATTTCATTTTACACTGCAGGGCTGAGCATCTGAACACACTTATTATTCCTTTCAGCTTAGATACATATATAGATATACATATAACGGTATCATATTTCTAAATAAGCTTTCATAATTATCTCGTGCAGGTTTGTACTCGTTTTAGAAGGTACTTTACAAAGTGAAATTAATTGACATTTTCAGCAATTTAGGATAGTGTGTGATGCTAAATGAAATTGACCTTAAACCAAGAACTTCAATAGCCAGCAGTGTGACAATTTTACAACTTCCAAGCTTGTGAAACAACATGGTTCTATTCAAGTGCATGTCAGATCTTTGGTGACGTGGGAAAAACATAAATTAAATTTGAGCAGAGGAAATTGAGCATAAACCCAAAAGCTTCCCAAAAGCTTTTAGATGATGAAAAAAACACTGAACTCAAGCATCAATGCATAACACATAAGAGGGTAGTGATAGATAAGTCCACAGCTCTAAAATGTTTAAATAGTGGTTTGTTAAGTGGAAGGAAGAACTTCAAGAGAAATGTCATCTGAGATAAAGTTAAACAGATGTTGTAACTTTTACTCTCTTTCTGGCTAACATTACTTTATGTAGACAAATGCATAGCAATTAGTATCTGCTCTCTCTTCTGTGGTAAGTGTCTTTTATTCTCATTTGGTTATTTCTTTCTTTGTGCTCTTGAAGCCTGAATTCTACAGATTTTATGTAAGGCTGCCTCAGTGTTATCCAACTATTGTCTCAAGGTAAAGCAGGTTTTAAAAAGAAAAAGACTCTTTGAAGATTTAGGAGAAAATTCTTCTCTTTACTTTCATAAAACTCAAAGTTGAAGTGCTCACTGTATCTCTTTTGTATTTCCAGTAAGTGGCCACACAGCCTTCCAACATATATTCTTTAGAAACCTTTTGTTTGCAAGGAAAACAGCTTATTTTTCTTTTTCAACTATTGGTAGACCTCTCTGTTGACCTCTCTAGTCCAAACATGATGGTGTTTCTCTGTCTTAGAGAGGTAGCCTATGTAGTTTAAAAAAAGTATTTCAAAGAGTTTTATTCTTATTTGAAAACCCCTTAAAATGTATTGTGTAATTAGCTAATTGAGATATTTTACATTTAAAATGTAATGTACCCTTCTTTAAACATTTTTTTGGGATTACATTTTAGATTTTTTATCTTTATTCTTTTCCTTGCCCTGTTTTAAGCTTTTAACTAATCCTACGACAGATGTTTCACATAGATGTGTGCCCAGTCTGTCACAGGGATTACTGATCTTTAAGTCCGAAACTTCTAACCCCTAGAATGAGGTAAACAATGAACATCTAAGGACTGTAGAATTGCTCACATGAGCATAAGCACAGTGATGTTTTGAAATCTTAGTCCAAAGTTTATGAACAATTTTTCTTCATAGCTTTCTGTTTTTAAAAGGAGGCCCATAAACAGTAAAACCATGAGTCACTGCTTTGTTTGTACTGTTATTTATGACAACAATCTGATAAAACTGATATGAAAGAGTTTAGAGGTCACATAATGGATAAACCTAGAGAGGCAGACACAGCTCAATGGTCGAGCCTCTGTGTGTGTTTGAGGAGAAGAGACTGTGGCAAACACCGCAAGTAAGATATAGTTGTGTCATTAAGGCTTCGATTTTATCTTTGTTATGGTCTTTGTTGCATGCCGATGCTTCTGGTTCAATCTTTGGGTGGGTTCCTTATTTTATGTTCCTCTGGGCTGTTAAAAGAAATAAAAACAATATTTTTAAAAGAAAAGGGTAGCATGGATCAAGGCCTTAGTAAAAGTTAGCTTCAGTATAAAATATTGTTCTCAGCTTCATACTTTGGATGGTTCAACCCTTCAGACAGCATAACACACATTCGCTCACAGTGTTTTGAATACAAAGTGAGGACCTGGCATTCACTCCCAGCCTAACCATGGCACTTACCATAAACCTAACCATCACTGGTGTCACTACACGATCCGTCCCGCAGGATCCTTTCTGCACATGGGCGAACAGAATTCCTTCTGGGTAGGCAATGCTTAGTTTTTCTTACTTTTTTATTCTTTTGTCTTTTTCTGCATATTCTAAAAACGAAAAAAGTGATACACTTAAATAGCCTTTAGAACTTTACTGTGACTGCTCTGAGCATGTCCGATGATGATGTCATGCAATACAATGGAGAGAATATAAAACGTATCCATTTCTTCCAGAAAAGTCTTCAATGTTTTCTATACAAGTAGTTTAACATTCTTTAATGTTTTAAGTATATAAAGAAGTTATTTCAGTACCATTATTATGTACGTTTTTGGCGATCCAGATCTTATTATTCTGTTCGCCCATGCGCAGGACGGATCGTGCTTCCGGGACGGATCGGGTAGTGACAATTGGTACATTCCTCACCCTAACCTTAACCTAAATTACACTCCTAAACCAAAGACTAGTAAAAGGGACTTGCCTTATATTTAAGTCCTCACTTTAAAATATGCCAAATATATCCCCTCCTTGCAGCAAGTACAAGTACACACCCTAGGACACCCATACAACTCAATTATGGTGCTATTTCTGTGGCCTTACCTGTCGCTGACACTGAGCTGAAACCTGTCGGGATTAATTAGCGGCTCACAAACACACACACACAGGTCTTACTCTCCCAGTGTATCTTTATTTGTGTCTTTGACAAACACGGCACAGTTACACCATTAAAGTGATAAAAAGCACACAAAAGGTTCATATGGCCACCTTTTACTATTCATTTATAAATTACTGTATGGTGGTGAAAAGAAACACATGCAGTATATGTGTGCGTGTGTTTTTCAGCCTAATTATTCATCAGACAGGATGCAGAGAGCTTCCAGGACAGCTTGTTGCCAATAAACACCTCCCACCCCCCTGCTCTGCTGTAATTACCTCACTCTTCATTTCACACCTTGGTTATGCACCCTATATCTCCTCGTGTCAGGGTGCTAGTGCTCTGTGTCAGCACAATGCAACACCTGTCAACTCCCACGTTTAGATACCTTGTTTTTTAAGATTTTTTTTTTTTATTATTTTAATAATGAAAAAGAAATCCGGAATAAATGTTTGTGGTTCCGATATAGGTAAACAAACAAAGCGCTAATCATAAAACTGAATGCAAGATCATGTTTTGTTTACTTAGACTGTCATAGTTTGTTGTTTACCGGAGCGGTATTTGTGTTTGGGAGATCAACGTCTGGTGAGGACAAGCTGTAACTCCTGTCAGCTTATGTTGGCATGCACAGGCCCATACTGTGCACTGCTGACTTTGATGGAAATAGAGCTGCTGACAGTTTTTTAAAGGCAAGCTGTTGACTGCCATAACCTTGTAGATGTTTAGTATCTGTGTGTAGTATATGTGTTAACATGATTTTTAAGAGGCTAGGATAATGTTACAAATAGCATTGCTGATGTAGAAATGCTAAGAGTCAGGGAAATGTGCCATCCATAATGATTATAATCTACATTATACATAAAACATAATAGCATCTTGCATGGATGTTTGAAAGGAATTGTAAAAACATAAATAGAAAAAAGTACTTTGTGTGTTTGCTCCTGAAGGTTGTTTCTGTCTTTACACCCAAATTGTTTATTCCATAGAAAGCTGATCCTTCTTTTTAGCAAGCCACTGTGGTGGCAGCTCATTACCATAGTGATAATGAAAAATAGAAAAGGTTGCTGGAGTCAGCAGGTTTTTTTTTTCTTTTTTTTTTTCCACAGCAGGATGTTTTAGCGTACAGAAAAACAGCATCAGTTTGCGTGAAATAAGAGGTGCAACTCAACTAAATTGTGGCTAAAAACTTGCAACTTCATGCTAAAAAGAAAAAAATACAGTCTCAGATGTTTTATAATCTGTTTTTTTAAATGTGTTAGATTAAAAAATACACAATTTGAACTCTATATTTTTTTAAAATCAGGTTGAAATTCTTTCCTTTATTCAGCATAAAAGGTTAGATTCTTTATCTTGTGCTGAACAGACAACTTTACTAAGTGTTGTTTATTCAGTGAGTCTTTAATCCTTTAGATCTAAACAGATTTAAGTTTTTGTGCACATTTAGGCAGTTTAGCCAAGTCTGTGTGGGTTTTTGTGGGGAAAAAATATCGAGGAGTACGAGATCTATTTCTGTGCAGTGATTTATTGTCTGGTTAGGAACAGAATAAATGTACCCAGTCAGTCATTGCAGTGTGCTTTCCACCGATCTAAGAATCAGTGGCAGAGAGGGCACCCATGAGAAAATACACCCCACACACCACTGAATATATGTCTGTCTTATCTTCCAGGTGACTGCCGCCGTGGAGGAACAAGCTAAAAATTCTGCTGCTGCTGCTTGGATTCTTTGCTTTGAATATTGATGCAGTAAAGGACAATCTGTATCCACTGGCAGTGAGCTTGAAAGATTTTCATTCACACAAAGGCAACAGACCTAAGCTGACTTTCTGGGACCTTCCTGTACACACTGGTGCACACCAGGCTTAGTCAAGTCTCATCAACTTCTGTCACATTTTAGATTTCCATTTAGAATTAGAGTGTTTTACGTTAAAAGTCTGCAATCCTCTTTTATCCTTTTCATCAAGAAATCCAGTATGGGCCAAGGTTATTGGTGGATTCCGCTTTCTTTTTAAGGGGCTCATCAATACTAATCAGGCTGGGACTAGCAGCAGGATGTCAGAGTTGGACAGCTTTCCACCTTTAAATGAGGACAGAGGCCCAGATCTAGGCCTGAATGGTCCAGCGGACCCAGTCCAAATTCAGCACAGCATCCTTGAGGAGCAGGTAGAGCTGTGGTGGTTCAGAGATCCTAGAAAGTCAGTACTTTGCTACTGCGTCGCTGTGCTGCTAATCCTGGGCTGTGGACTCGGAGGCGTCACCCTTCTCTCCACCACCACCAGTGTATCGAGTGAATGGAGGCTTGGTACTGGCACAGCCATGTGCCTTCTGGCTCTGGGGGTTCTTCTCAAACAACTACTCAGCTCAGCTGTACAGGACATGAACTGCGTTCGGAGCCGACGAAAGATAGACATGTTAAAGAGTGGCGGCTTGTCGGACATTTTGGTGGTGTTAATCACAGGACTTTCACTGCTAATTTGTGGAGGAGTTCTTCTACATTTTGCCCTGGTTCACGATATGCCAAAGCCAGGACAAGCCCTGAACGACATGTACATCTCTGGAGTGGTTTTGCTAGCAGGAGGAGGAGCGGCCGTGGTGGGCGTAGGAATGTACACCGCAGTGGATGTCCTACTTGAGAGGACAAGGCATGGACGAAGACTTGTAGACCGAGTTCTGAATGTGTTTACTGTGTCAGGACACATGGACCGCCATGCTCGCAGAGAGACTGCCTCAAGCTTGGCCAACCTAATATGAGACCCAACTGCAATAAAGCTATGTGAACAGATTCCTCTCTCACCTTAATTAGAGCAAAATGTAACTTCAAAAGATTTTCCTGATGAAAAGAAAAGATGGACACCTCACCTGATTAAAATATGCATGACGGAAAATGAATACATTTGTAACAAAGACATGATGGGTGTGTGATATGATCAGACACAGAGCAAAGGTAAAGTGAAGCACAACAAATGACAATGATAAGACATAAAATATACACAATGTGTATATATATATATATATATATATATATATATATATATATACACACTATAAAAAGACATTTTTATGTGTATATATATATATATATATATANTATATATATATATATACACACTATAAAAAGACATTTTTATGTGTATATATATATATATATATATATATATATATACACACTATAAAAAGACATTTTTATCTCCAAATCTTCCTTATACCGGTCGACCAAGAATACTAACATTTTTTTTTCTTCAAAGTCAAAGCTACATAAAATAATATGCCTACCTATAAACAAGTTGAGAAAGCCCAGCTGACAATTTAGTGGCTTTGTAAGTGTCACAATATTTGAGTTAAAATGGGCACATCTGGTTGTATTTTAAGACAACATCTTCAACCTTGGACACTTGGGTATATTTTCAAAATGCTTGAAGTTCAACATTTATCTCTTTAAATAATTATATGCAAATATAATCAACATTAGAATGTACAATCACCATTCAGTTTGTGAAGTAAAATTTAATATTGCATTTTTGGTCATATTGATAAGAAGACAAGCTCAACTATGATGTATGGTTTACTTGAGCACTTCAGGAAGTAGATAGTGTCATTAGGAATGAATATTATCAGCCAAATGTCCAAAGAATGGACATAATTTGGTCTTTTAAAAGTATAATGATCGGTATCATAGCTAAAGTCATTATAAAGTTACTTATGGACTGACAAGTCAATATTTGGAGTGCCTATCACAAAGCCTTGATCTCAACTCCATGGAAACTTCAGAGAGAACTGAAAAAGTTTATTTAGGGTTATAAATTATTGTGTGGATGTGTGGGTGCAAGTTGTCAAAAAAAAATGATTTGGTTACCTAAGCACTGTCAGGAATAATGGGCCAAAATTCAAGCAAACTATCATGAGAAGCTGGTAGGCAAAAACTTAGACCCAAGTTATTTATTATTAAATAGAGTTCTGCCAAATATTAAGGAAATGTATGTTCACTGCTGAATCAAAGATAAAAAAAAAAGAAAAAAAAAGTACTTAAAATGAGAATTAGCAAAATAAAATAACTTTACTGATCTTACCCAACTAGAAAATATTGGGATACTTAATGCCAGAGAGTGATAAATAAATATGTATTATTTTATTTAAAAAAAAGGATACCTAACTGTTTAGAACTGTGTATGCATAAATTTGTGTAATAATGTAAAAAAAAGACCAAAATTGTACGAAAGCTGGCATAGAATTGTTAATTTATTTATCTATAGAATTTCTGCCAAAAATGGAACAATTGATGAGAGGCTATTTTTGTTGAAAATTACATTAACTTAAAGTATTAATGGAATGATGAATGTCAGTTTAAGTGAATCTGAATGTTCAGAGAAAACATACGTACATGTTTAACAGTTTAACACTGGAAGCAGCGGTTACTATGTTGTTTAGTGGTTAAACACTTCTTAGTTAATGTCTTAAAATAAAATCTTGTTCTTTAAAGAGTTCATATTAATTTAAAAGTGGTAAATTATACAAATGAGAAAATACAGTATGAAAATATTTATTAATTTAAGTAATCTTTAGATTTTTTTCCCCAAGCTCTCCATATTAACAGCTATGAATCTATTCAGCTAGTGTAGGATTTTATAAACACCAGAACTTAATTGTTGCCAACGTTATTTCTTTCCTTGGTTTCTAAAAGTAATTTATTACACACTTTTTATTGGGAAACTAGCCATTAAAAGACTGCAGAATGCGTGGAGATTTTTTTATTTATTTATTTTTTATTTCGGCATTATTTGATTTGCTTAGAACTGTTATATATTATGTTTTCGATATCCCTACTCTTTCAGATTCTGATGTATCACCTAAAACGATCACTATAAATGTGACATGCGAGAAAATAGATGAACAAATAATGTTTACATCATTTCCTACATGGCGTTGGGTCCTTTTCATCTTTCAATTATATTTTAGCATCAAAGGTTGATTAAAGTTACAGAGTCACATAATTGGAGCTTGAGAAAATAATTATATGAGATTGTCATTTAAATGCAGTACAAAGAAAAGCATTGCTGTTTGTACTGTGTCTACTATATTTTAATATAGTTGCAGTACTCATTGAGATGGTAATATTTTTTATCAATGCAACTCTTGGCATTCCAAAAATTTTAAGCCATCTTTTGGGAGGGATTGGAAGAACTAACTGTGTCCTAGCGGTTAATTTAAGGTGAAGTTAAAACATTATGAGGTAGTCCTCCCTTTGTATATCACCCCAGTAAGTTTATTGTATGAGTACCACTGACAATAAAACAGACTCTCAAATGAATGCAATCAACCCCACATTTGACTATTGCTGAAGGTCTCTTCCTTTCAAAAGTCTTACTGTGGAGACTAGCCAAAGAGACTCTCCCTCCTGTCTAAGTACATAACAGTTTAGTTGAATATTTTTTCTTTTTATTGTGTATCAACATCCCAACAACTTTGAAAGGATTTAGTTGCTTGGATAATAAAGTCACAGTGGAAATGGAACATTGAAAGTTCCCAAATAATATTATGTGGTTGTTAAAATTCAACAGAATTAAAAACATGTTAATGACCTGTGTGCTCCTTAACAGAAGATCTGTCCAGTCGAATTTTAGAACTTATAATGAGGCTATACACTGCCTCATGCAGAGGAGCTCAAATACCTAGGGGTATCTTTCATGTGTAAGGTGAGAACGATGGATACATGGATATAAAACCTTATCTACAGTTCTACAGGAATTGCTCCAGTCTGCTGAGATAATGAGGGAGGGTTGCCAAAAAGCAAAGTTACTTTAATAAATATAAAGCCTTTACTATTTGCTAAATTATTCATTTACTTTTCTATCAAACAATGCAAATCCTTCAATGATTATATTCATTCTTGTTATGATTCGCAAAACTTATTTCTTGTATATCACTACCTCATAACTTGACTTTGAAAAAAAAATTTAAGTTACATATGTTGATGTGACATTTGCTTTTTCAACAGCTTGGATTAAACTGGATATTCATCTTTGAAGTAATCATAAGAGAAAATAAAGCCTAAATTAAACTAAATGCTTGTGTTAAGTTTTACCACCCAGAACTGAAATGGAAATGGACAAAAATGTATCTGATGTATTGGATAATTACTACATTTTTCAACTGAACGGTAGACACTGCTGCTTTGTTATATTTATTCTGACCGGTTATTTTCGGGCATACACACAAGCACTGATCATGTTGCCTCAAGACAAAAAAGGGTAAGACAGTTACCCATTGTTGGTGAGATGAGGGATGCCGACTGAAAGCACAATGCACAAGTCAATGCTCTTTAGGGGCTGGTATAGGCTAGTACCACTTTCTTCCTCTGGACACAGAAAGAACAAAATCGTTCTTTGATGTTGTATATTTACAATAAAGGGCTCTGTTATAATTGTTTGTATAACAACTGTGTTTTTGACCTGTGTTTACTGTAGAGTGAAAACTCCAGAAAAGGCAGTCAGTATTCGTATATTTTAAAGATAGCCATTTGAGATGCGTTGTCTCATTTACAAGGGGGTACTTGCAGAACACATTGCTTCCCCAATACCAGCCTGCTTGCATATCAGAATACACTTTTTCTTAAACATTAATAACTACTACTGTATGTAGTACCGTATATACATACAGTATAGTAAACATGTATTCACTGTGCTTCATAAAACAAAGCAAAGACATGTAAATACAAGGTAGAGATCATAAATTATCTGGGGAGTAAGATGAGAATAAATGACTCAAATAGAGAAAATAAGGAATTAAAAGCACGACCTGGGTGACTGACAATATGAAATGAGGTGATAGAACTGGGTTTTTCCAATCTAATGAAGCTGTAAACTGAAAAGCACAACTATTTTTTTTCCCTAATTTCTGGAGATGGAGAGAAATAGATGAGTGGTAATCCTTATGCAACAATGAGAGCTGATTGGAATTAGACTCTTTTTAAGTATTTAGGCAAATTTATAAGCTGGCATAAACCAGATGGATATTGTGTAGAATTAAAATTGAACTGCACATATCCATCTCGAAAGCCTTGCAAAAGGGACATTCAGTACAATTCTTCAAGCTGATTTGGCTAATCTGGTGGCACGTACCTCCCATGTCAAGCATTTAGCCAATCACAGCAGTGGTGCCAGTTGTGCCGAATCATATTCTTGATTTGTTTCACAACTAGCAGAGTTAACTGATAAATCAAACTCCTACCAAATATGGTGTGGAGGACCACACAAACATCTTTCCTATCCACAAACGCAAAAATTGTGTCCTTTTTCTCCTTTTTCTTCTAAAAAGGAAATAGAGGGTATTCCAGCTAAAACAGCCATTTTTGTTTGGCTTCATTTTTCCACCTCAGGATGACGCGTTGACATCATACGTGTCATTACATTTCACTGGTCTGAAACATTTCTGTATTGTGGCTAGTTTGTGAATGTGGAAATCTTGCAACAATTCATCCTGTTGCAAGCAAATTTAAATAGACAAATCTGAAAGTAAATAACCAATGAAATTTCCTTTTGGCCGTATGAGTCAACTGATACAATGACTAAGAAAATAGCGAATCCTGTATTGAGACATCAGAAAAAAACTGACAAAGACTAATAAGAAAAACATTGAGGGGATTAGAATTTGTTTCAGGAGCACTGCAATAAATAACATCAAAATAATAAGATAAATTGTCTCTAGTAAATATATTTTCATACAATCTGGATTTATATCATTTAAATTAATCATTTTCTTTTAATGCTGTTAAATCTAAAATATTATTACACCAACTGTTTGTATTCTTGTTCATAAAAGCTTATCTATAGATAACTATATTTGAACTAACTCATAAATTGTTGGCATTTAGTACTAAGTCTGCTGAATGTCCAAATTAGAGGAGTAATTTACAGTGTCATCTGTATATAAATACATTTTACAGTAAGAATAGACATGTTAGAGGTCATTTAAGAAGAATTAAAATAGTATTG